GCTCATGGCCTGAGGGCGCCACTTTGAGCACGCAAGGCAGGGAACGCAGTCCTGCTGATTAACATGGAACCCGGACACCACATGCATTTAGACGCAAAAAACCTTTTGGGGAACCCTCTTGTTGGGCTCTAAAAATAGTTTGCAGAATAATATGTCCTACAATTCCTAGCTCCGAGGTAGCACCTGGAATGCCCTGTCAGAAAGGTAAAGCATCCCGTCAGGACGGTATTAAGATCCAGAAGAAACAAAGAGTACAGCCATTCAGGTAGCCATCAATTTATTGCTTGGATTGCCTTGGGCCCCTGGTATCTGAGAAACGAATGAATCACCTGCTTTGAAGGCCACCACCTTCTGCAAGCTTCGCTCTGGCACTTTACTTCATCCTGAGGGATGTCTGGTTCATGAATTGAACATGCAAGCACCCCACGTCGCCGACAATGTGACCATCTGCCAGCATTAACAGCCATGGAAACGACCTGACAAAAGACCGACTTGGAAGAGGGCCCCTTTAAGAGCAACATGGTTCAAAACAGGGATCAACCAAAGGAATCCATAGAATAAGATTCTGGCTTCAATATTTCACACACACCATCTTCAGGCTCCTGAAGTCATTGAACAATTAAGGGGAACAGCTGGGTGAACCTTTTGTCAGCCAAACAAATTTAAGGGATCCTTCGGTCAGGTCGCGGATCTCAATTGCCCATGGCGCAAAGCATCCCTCCAAACTCTGGGCTTCCAGTCACCAGATCGGAACGAATGCGGGGGAGAAGCCACCACTTGCAAGGTAAAGCTGGGAAAACTATGGCTGGGATCCCCAAATGGACAAAGCCCGTACCAGGTTCCCTGTATCATGTTGATCAACGATATTGCGTAGAACATTCAATAAACATTCCCCCAACAAATGATGAGAAAAAAAACATGAGCATGTAGAAGGGACACATAATGAAACACACACACACACATTGTTATGTCATGAGCATGACTTAAGTTGATCTTAACCTTGGCCCACATCTGAGGTACTCCAAATATAACATGTTCAGCTTCGTCATGTTTACTACCCATAAAACATTGAAATAGTTGTGGAGGCCCCGGCTTAAAGCCCCCATCACCCGTCTCAAAGTTTCGGCCCTAGGAGCCCGGTGGATGGAGTCTGTCCAACTGACATGGACAGGGGAATTGGAGCCCAATGGTAGATGTTCCCTATGTTGCACCTTTTTACCAGGTATCAGGTGGATCATATCCCCAATTGAGTCCTCATTCCGTGGGATTTCCCAGACATAACTTTACAACAAAAGGTTCCAGAACATATGGCCATGGGTCAAATTCCCGTACCCCCAGTGAACCTCCCAATCCCCACTAAAATAGATGGTGCACCTACCAAAATGGTTTTGACCCACAGCCATAAAGCAGATCCCCTCATCTACCGTTTCCGTCTCAGGGCGCGGCACGCTGCACTTGCCGCCAGCACCGCCTTACTTGTGAGCGAGCGGCGGAAAGTGCAGGGTTTGCAATTTGGCGTTGATTCCCCCATGTTCAACGAAGCCAACACCTCATTATCTGAGTTCTTTTCTGTCAAAGCCCCTTCATATTTCAGGGTGAACAGGCTCGCTTTTTTCGCTGCTGCGGCGATCCTCCGGGCTGTTGTGGACGGATCGGATGCGGATTGGTGGCGATTGGGCCCGAAGTCGACGAAACGCTCCAACTCGCGGCTGGCTTTTCGCTTGTGGTGCGACAAAGTTTTTTTTGGAGCCTGAAGTTGCTGAGCCGGACATGTAGCTACTGAAATGGCCCAAGCCAAAAGGAGACGTTTCGAATACTGAATGACCATACTGGTGTCCTGAGTGGCCCCTTGCTAGGCGCACCTATTGCACTATTAGGCTGCAATGGTTCCTCTTGCTATGGCTCTCATTCCATGTCTGTAAGTGGTTGTTAGGGGGGAATACCCCACCAGCCAAAGAGGATACAAGATCGACTTTGCAAAGTCCAGAGTCATCCGTGTCTTGGGGCTTAGAATGACAATGATTCGGATACGATGTCAGGCTTTGGACCCCTGCCATGGGCAGGGGGTGTGAATGCACCATATTCCCGACCCAATGGCGCCCTTCCGAGCCAACCCTTGAGATATCCTACCTGCAGTTGATCCTTCCAAAGAGGTAGTTGAACCCTGACTCTGCCGGAGGGACCGAAAACCTATTTTCTTGCGAATTGGGGTGTCAAAAGCCTTCATGCTTTCAGGGTCCAAGTGAAGTAACGGCCGAGGAAAGAAAATCGCGTCCGCCGTCGACATCGCGCGCAGACTGCGGCCGAGTGGCCGAGATGGTCACGAAAGATGGCCGGTGGCCTTAGTGGGATGCCCGAAGTGGTCACCTTTGGACCTGGACAACCTACGCCACCCAAAACCTGGCTGTGGCAAATAGCGGTTGGTTGATGCCAAAGTGGGATGGATTCCCATGCCAAGAAGTGTCTGACTTAGGCAGGCCTTTGATTTCAATCAAAGTGGCCCAAAACCTCATTTCGCAAGACAGGCTTCCACTTGGCCTGCCAAGCTGCTACAAAGGCAACAGCACCACCCTACTCAGACAGCTGACAGCTTTGGGGGGGGGGGCGGTATTTTGTGAATTTGGTTGTGCTTGGCTCATCCTTGGCTTGCCCACAAATTGTACGTCTCTGCCAGCGTGCACTAGTTATCAAGCTTGATGCAAGGCTCCTTCATCAATTTACCAGCAACTTAGCCCTGGACAAGGTCTCGCCCTTTTCTGAGGGGTTCCCGTTGACATTCGCTGCTGAATTTACGGCCGTGCAAAACGAGGATGGTTCTAGGTACACAAATAGAAACATACCGATCCCCTTCTGTCTTTCTCGGGGAGAAGCGTACAGTCCCTATGCTTCCATGCAAGCTCTAGTTGACCACAGCCAATGGAGGCCACCCCACCAAAACAGAAGGGGTCCCCTTTGAAGGCAGGCCAACCGAAACAAATGGTTGCCAAACGACACATGAACACAGACCCCTACCCAGAAAGTCCCAGGCAAGAGCAAGGTAGATCACATTGTTTTGTCCTTGGTTGTCTAAGTTGTTGGCCATTTGGAGACAAACCCATTGGTACTTGGGGAGGGCCCGTCTTAAAGGACAGCTAAGGAACCAAGGGGAAGCCAAGAGGAAGCCAAGAGGAAGCTACTTGCTCAAACTACCCATGAAAATTGAAAATCAGCCCAGAATGTTGGGGCAACTACAGATATAATATGGGCAGTTTGAGCGTCCAGGTAGTACCTCTTTAGCTCCGCAAGGGCAAATACGAAAAAGCAAATCACATCGCATAGTACGTCTGCAAGCCGAGGCAATCAACCTAAGCAACTGATCAATAGTTGGGGGTTGGTCAATATTCCCGCACCCCACCTCACCCTCAGAAGCGGGTGGGAAAGTCATAAGGATTCCTCCCTAATAGTCATTCCATCTGGGTGCTAAATACGAAGTCTAGAACCAGACGGCGATCCCCAACATTGGAGGCTTTTCTGTTGGTGTCCATTCAAACCAATGTAAAAAAGGGTACCCTCAAAAACACAAACCCAGAAATGGACAAAAAACACCCATGGACCTTTTGATCAACCGCCCCCCTTTCTGCAGATCCTATTCGAAGAAACCGAGGCGTGGGCTCTGCAGCAGCCACGTGGCGGCATGCCACCTGCGAACCCCCCCGGAATCGAGGATGCTGCGTTTCCCAGTGTGGAGAGCCCTGTTGAGCCACTTGCTCAAACCCCTTTGCATTAAAATGGTCGTAATCCCAGAACCATGTCTCAAGAATTAAGAAGGCGGATATCCGCAACTTGGCTGGGACTGGCCCTTACTAAGCGAACCATCTACCCGAATCGGTTTTGAGCAAGTGGCTCATGAGACAAACCCCGGGGAAGCCCAAGAAAAAGGGCCGCGAGAAACCAACGGGAAATCACCCGTTAAGAGGGGACCCCCGTTTGTTTGGAGAGAGGCAAACCAGCCATTTTCCTCCGTGTGCAAGTCGCATTTTGTGGAAGCAGGTGAGAATATCAATGAGAGCCGGCATTTACAAAAGGGACTTGCACTGGAACCATTCAATTTAAACAAAGGAATCCAATGTCTTGGTCGATCTTCAACCTCGGACGACCCATAAAAAAAAAGGAATTCACCCCATAATTTTAGAGCAAGACCCCTATTCTTATGGGAGTTTGAGGGTCCAGCAGGGTTTGTTTCAACATGTTCTACCATCCGAGTGCAGGCCAAACAAATACTGGCCCTTGGACCGGTTTGTTCTCAGGCTATCGGGGAACAACTCTTCCACCCATAGATGGATCCTGTATTTCTCGGCTTTAAGATGACGCCAGTCCTTAACTTATGTTCTACAATATGTTGTCCTAATCAAGCGCAAAGATGTAAGACGGTACCAAATGTTGACTCACTCAAATCCAATATGTTCAGATATGTTCAGGCACGCCCAAAAGGCACCAAGGGTTGCTGCAAAGACAATGGCACAAAAGTAGACATGTTTCCAAACAAGAAGTTTACAGAAGCCAAGCGATAATTCCTATGCGCGGCCATCAATTTCAAAGGAGCACTGCAAAAGGTTGCTACCTCTTTTCGTGATAACCCGCAACAAGTTGACAGGTGCGACTAGATTTCTGCAATAATTTGCCGCCATGGGTGGAGGACAAGGTCCCTCGAGCTCACCAAACTCAAAGGAGTCAACGCACCATGTTATTTACCCAAAACCTCAAGCAATCGCAACTGGTAAAGGGTCTACGCAAACAGTTAAAAGAGCATACAAGGCGACCGCACCCCTTTTATGGCAAGGGGACTGTGCCTGCCATGTCATTCCCGAACTCCTGGCAGTTCCGAAAGGCTCTCTATTGAAGAAAACCTTTGGAGAACTACCCTTCCCCCAGCTGAGGATGATGCTCTATACTTTTGGCAAAGTAGCATCAGTAGCATCAGTAGCTTTCACCCAGTGGCATCAGTAGCATCAGTAGTCTTTTCAAAGGCTGAGGTACAGCTCCCTTCCCACCAGCCGGCCCAACCCAACCGGGCTCTCGGTCTCGGGTCTCTCGGTTCCTCGTGTCGCTGGCCTCAAGGCCGCCGCGCAGGCCTGGGCCGCCACCCCGTAGCTGGTGGCGTCCACTTTTTCGGCCTGGTCCTTGGTGGGAGGGTTGGTCCGGGGTGGGAGGTTAGGGCTGGTTTCGGGTGCGTCGATGGTGTGCCATGACACACCGGAGACAAGCTTGGGCGTTTGCAGTCTGGGCAAGCGTCGGCCCCTCAAGGTTTCATGACTTCGATATTTGTTGGCCTCAAGTGCGGTGCGCTTGGGAGACTTGAGGTCTTTGGCCTTGGGGCCCTTGAGCCCAAAGGGTCGTGGAGTTTCTTTGGGGTCAAGTTGCAAAGAGCTAAAAAAGGTGGGGTTCAAGAGGGGGTCCTTGCCTCACTACCAAAAACTCGCGCTTGGCACCAAGGGTTCAAGGTTCGATTTCGTGGGGTGAAGATTTGTTCAAGCTTCAAAGTTTCTGGGGCAACGTGCTCCACTTTCTCAAAGATGTTGATCCAGCGGTGAGTTGAACCACGGCGTGTTCTGAGGCCCGGTCTGCTTCAAGTATGCTGAGAACCAGCTCCCAGCGAGTCGCGCCTCGTGCCAGTGGCGGGGATCCGTGCCATCTACTTTCACCCAAACTTGTTTGACAGCGCGTCCCTCAAAGTTCCCCCGAATTTGGCGAGTCCCCCTATGTCCCTTCCGAATTGGCAATGGACTACATCTCGCATGAGGATGTTGAGGCACTAGATTTAGGGCCATTTGGGGTGTATGTCATATGTTTCCTATATGGTACATTTCTCGGGGGTTGACCTCAAGCCCATGGTCTTGCCCATCACCGGAGCTCCATTCCAAACCATATCCCTGGAGTTCAGTTGCCACCATTAAGACAAAGGGGGTGTTTATAACCATTGGTTCTTACCTAAGAAGCTTCATCATCCAAATTGGGTCCTTGCCATTCCTTTACTGGTGGTTGAACCCTGGAGGAAATCCTTCCAGTACTCCAATCGGTAGCTCCGAAGGGCTCCCTCTTTAAAAAACAAACTTGGACACCAGCTCCGAAACGGCTCCTTTCCAACCACCAGCTAGCGGGGTCTACTTGCCTCTTAGAGGTTACTCAGCCGGGTCGGGCATTTGTGTAACCAAGCAGATGCCTTTGAAGGGAAACCAAAAGGCGATTCTTTAAACAAGTGTGTAAACTGGACTGTCCGTTTTCTGATCCCCTGCTAAAAGTGACCAACTTGTGGGTTAAATGGAAACTAAACCACTAAACCAACTAAAACCTAAAAGGCTAAGGGGATGGCTAGGAACCAACAAATAAACATGTTTATACTAAACTGGACCAACCCGCATCAAGCCCGTAAATCAAACAAAACATACCACGGGGGCAGATTCTGTCACTGGCAAGTGAACAAATCGTACCTGCTCGCAAAACCTTCCATCCCCCAGAGCCTTCCAGCCAGTCCCTGCATGCCTTTGTCTGTGAAACCCAAAGTGATCTGAGTCCAAAGAGGGGACCTGCCAATTGCAAGTGCCAAGAGGGGGAAATGAGTCCTCCGTCCCTTTTTCCGATGGCTTAGGGATTTCTCCTGAAAAGCGCAGAAATCCGTCCATCCCCATTGGACTCGTTTCCTCGACTCGATAGAGCTTCGCTGGGCTCCGCACGACCGCAGGCGCTGAGACACGCGTTCAGGGCCACAGAGTTCACCTACCCGGAGGGGGACCCCCGAAATTTCCGTGGCTGTGGCTCAAAATTAAACAGAAGGGGTTACGCAGGTGTTGGTCCATGTTCCCACTTACCAGGGTTCCATTGTGGTACCGGTTTTTTGAGCCACAGTCAGATCCCCTGCTAAAAGTGTAACTTTTAGTGGGCAAAAATGGAAAACCCCACTAAACATTAAAAAGCTAAAAAGCGAAGGAACCGGATGGCTGGGAGCCACCAAGCCCGGAAAAGTCGGTAGCCAAGGGCCTGCCAGTCTCGAAAAACCAAAAGTATTGGTGGTTTTACACTACCTCCATGTGCCCAAGTCCCCTGGAAGAAATGAAAAACAAATCCAGTAGTGATAGATTCCCTCCCTTTGAAACCAACAGGGGAAAATATGAAACATAGTCTTAACCAAATGGAAGACTATAGGGGCAACTTGGATCCACTGGGGTTTAGGGAACCAAGGGCTTGCCACCCGTTAAAAACCAACCACGCAAATGGCTTTAGGGCTACCTGCTATAGGGCTAAAACTGGGATCCATCAGGTAACCGAGGGAACCCGTCCATTGCTGTAAAGAAGAAACCCGAAGGGTTACCCACTATGGTGGCTTGCCTCGAAGCACCGGGATCGAGAACTCCCTTTCATGGACAAACAAGTCGCCCAGCGCCTCCTGTATTGCAGGTAACCGGCCCAGGGGTACCATTTTATACAGGAAAGCTCCGCTCCCACAAAAGAAGGAACATGAAGGAACGATTCCAATCTGTTCCAGTTCCAGCCTCCGAATTCACGGTTCTACCCGCCTATGTCATGCCCACGGTTCTGCCCCCTGCTGTATACCCATTGCTTCCAGCTACCGGTATAACTAGTAGGTAACAAAGGGAAAGCATGATGTACAGCCTAGAGGTAAGAAACGCAGGTTGCCTACTATGGCTGCAACTGGAAGAACTGGGTGAACCAGTACCTAGTCGATAAACAAGCTGGGTACCGACTAGATCATATAAGCGGAAGCACGGGGTAACCTGGCCTACGAAGCATTTACGAATTTGACAGAACATGCAACGTAGGGTTCCAAACCATTTACCCTACCGCCTGCCCATTCCAGGAGCCTCATCAACGAGCCTCTGGAGGGTTAAGGCCCTTGGGCCACCCTTGACAACTAGCACCGCCGGTCATCCCCTGATAATATGCCTGAAAGAAACTGTCGGTCACGCGAAGAAAAAAACAAAAAACGAAAAACACAATGCGGCCTAATAATAGCGGCCCTTGACTATGGGATTTTTCAACTGAAGGATACATGTGTTTGACAAACCCACAGGAACCGCTTTTGTCAAACTCCCGTGGGCCACGGTCAAACCAGTAGTGAGGCCCCCATGTCCCATCTCCCTCCATCCATAAACTCCGAATCTATGCGCAACCAAGGCACACCAAACCACATACCCAATGAGATTTCACAAGAAGTCGAAACACTTGCTGGTGCTCAGTGCTCAGTAGGGAATGACCGAGTCTGCGTGTTAATCGGGGATTCCCTTCGAGTAGCCAAATCTGGGGATGGGTCAAATCGGGGGTCATTCCATTTCTCATTTCCTCGCTATCGAACCAGCAAGGAAAAAACACCTTTTGGGGAAAAGAAACAAGACTTCCAGTCGTGAAATCGATTTTCTTGAAAACCAAGAGGGGATTTATTTATTTTAAAAAATGTCAGCCAATGGAAACTCCCAAAAGGAGCTCCTAAGTCTTCCTTCTCACTCACGCCGGCCACGCGCGCCTGGATGGACCGCGAAAACTCCGCGCTCCAAATCGCCACGGCCCTCTCCCAGCCTTGGAAGTTCGGCGAAGGCGCGACAGAGCCGAAGCCTCCCGTGGCCATGGGGACAAGTGGGCTGCCTTTTTGTGTTGATGTTGAAGGGGACAAAACGCATAGAAACAAAGATGTGCTGATTTTCAAGGGAAGCACGCGCACATAGAAATAGATACAAAATAACGTTTATTGGAGGTCTGGGTCATGTCGGCAAGCTGGAGCTTCAAGCGAGAGCAAGACTTAAACAGTCAGGGCGCCCGGCTGTGGACAAAGCAAGCGGATCCGCATATGGGTGTGTCTTTTTTCGGGGACCCCCCAAAATGGTGATTTCCTTTTTGGTTTCCCTTGAAAAACACCAAAATAGGGGTACCCAGAAAAAAGACAAACCTGCGGGTTGGACACTTGGCGTTGCGGGGGTGGCAAGCCGCGCATGGGGGCCAACTCCTTAGAAAAGCCCCTCCTCCCCCTCCCTCCCCTCCCACCACCGACCCTGATTTGAGCAGGGGCCAGGAAACTCACCTGACAGCCCTCGCCTTTCCCAGCCGAGCGCTCGGCAGCCCCCCACATCGCAGGCCGCCAGGGCCGCACTGAGTAGCGCCACATCCAAGGACCCCGCGCCCTGCCAACCGTGGCTTCGGGAGGCCCGTCGCGTTTCGGTGGATCGCTTCGCTGTTTTGTGTCACAAGCCGAATTGCAGAGAGAAATTTGCATTTCACACCAGAGACCTCTGTTGAGGTCTGGTACAGGGCACAAAAAAGGCCCAACTTCAGCGCAGAACAACAAATCAATTCCCACACCTGAGAATCAAGAGACCGCACGGAACGGAGCGCCTCGAACAACTCCAGCGCCATCTGCCAGTTGCGGCCTCGCCGTCCCGTGTGCCAGTGGTTTCATGGGAGCCATCTGCCTCATGGACGAGTAAGGGCTTTGGCTCCAGGTATAGTCCCCCCCCTTTTGATAGCCCTCCATGATATTTGGAAGCAGGGTCTATATAGCCGAAAAAGAAACAAACATGACCATCCATAGGCATACATCTTGCGGCAAAGGAATAAAGCATGAACGCATCCAAGAGTGCATAAAATATATGTTGATCAATATGTGGTCTTTGTCCGAAGAACAAGCCTGCATCTCACGAGCTGTGAACAGCCCAATCAGCTAAGCCAACTGTTGCACGCAAAGACGCCGTCAGGATCGCAACACACAACGACACATCAGGGTGGGGCCAGCCACAATGCGGTTCCTCTTAGTATGCGGTTCCCCTTCATATATGGTTCCCCCTCACCCCCGCTAAAAGTTCAACTTTTAGTGGGTCACATGGAAACTACCGCTAAACACTAAAAGGATAAAAAGCGAAGGAACCGGATGGCTGGGAGCCACCAAGATCCCAGCCTGCCCCAAAAAACTCTCCACCTCGAAAGTGCCGGTGCTTGGTGTGTAAAAGTTTATACGAGTGGTCTAATGGAAAACCCGTTAGTGGGGCAAGAAGTTAAAGTCCTAACATCCAAGCAACATGCAACAAAGATATATCAAGCTCCAACCAATCTTGTCCATCCCAGCCGATTCGCCTGCCTTTCTCGCAGGCGCTCACTGCCACGGACAGGCTCACCGTGTTGGCCTGTCGATCCATTTCGTCCGGTGGTTCCGCGTTCCGATTTTTCCGGGGGTCCGGTGGCCGTGTTCGATTTTTCCAGGGAATGGCCCAAATCAAGCGTTGATCCATTTGGCCATGGGCCAAAATTTCATACCCCTAATAAACATCCCAATCCCCACTGAAATAGACTAAAATGGGTAGTGCACTGGTTTTGACCCACAGCCATTTACCGGTGTCCGTTGAAACCGCGGGGAATCCCAGAAATCTACACGATGAAAGTCACTGGATTTCCAAGAATCAAACGTTGGTATCCGTTTCGTGGTGTCCATTGAAGCGATCGCCACTTTTGAAGAATCCACAAGGGGCACTGGCTCGGAAACTACTATGGCCCCGATGGCTTTCGGCATCCTTTTTTGGTTGGTTGAGCTTACAAGGAATCGGAACCCTTCCCACAAAAAGTTGAAACAAGGGCATCGCTGGGTAACTGGGATTGGGTCTTCCTCTCAAACAAGGCACCCCGAACTTATAAAGGGCTCATTAATCAAAAAAGGGAAGAACGGGCGGAATCCACTGGGCAACTGGGCTGACATGCTGCGGGCGAGCCATTCGACGGGCTCTCCCTGTGGACCGTTGCCTGGCCTGCAGCTTGGCATGCGACATCTGCGCAAACAGGTGCAGCGCTTCTTGCCACCTGAACGCCCACGGATTCGGCGGAACCCCTGAAACCAGATACCATGGCCGCAGTCTGCCGACCTCTGTGAATTTGAAACAAATTTGACCCACCCATTCAGAAACCCCTATGTAGGCTTTGCCATTGAAGAGATATATGGCACTGTTGGAAGGACACAACCCTATTCATCTAACAGCTTTGTTAATCCAGTTGACATTATTTCAGCGCAAAAAGTCTGAAAAAAATGGCACATATTACTGACAGGGCTTTCCTTCAATATCAAGGGCCAAATAATTCTACACGCTGTTGTGCCATGTCCATACTGCAACTTGGTCTCGTAGTACCCCGAAACCCCATTAAATTTGTTCGGCCCCTCACAGTACCCGGAATCACTGGGGAAGTGGTTGGTGGGTGTATCCTTTTTTGCTTTGGGGTGGTATTAAAGGGGAACCCAGGTCAGAACACCAGCCATTTTGGGGGTTTCCCTATTTCAGACAAGCCCATTGTGCCGTTTCTCTCCTGGCCAGCAACCCACCCGCGGCTTGCTCGCGCCTATGTCCCTTCTCCATGGCACTCATCACGGCGGCGTAGTTGATAACATCTGCCTGACACAGATGTCCCGACAGTCGCCGCAAAACGGAGACGCATTCAAAAGAAGGTCAACAAACCTGGGCTGCCCTCAGATTTTCTGCTAAAAGTTCAACTCTCAGTGGGTTAAATGGAAACTACCACTAAACACCAAAAGGCTAAAAAGCTAAGGGGATGGCTGGGAGCCACACAAATAAACAAGAAGGATCCAAGCGCAATAGTAAAACAAATCCATCCGTCACGTGGGTGGGTTTATCAGCAACTTGTTTGGCGCATTTGGGGGCTTGCGTGTACCGCGTTTTCCTTTGTGGAATTCACAGTGGGCACCATCTAGAACGAAAGAAAAAAAACAAGGATCTGCAAAATTTGCCATGTTCTTTGCCAGCAAGAGGATCTTGTCAGGACGGTGTCGTTGTGCGACTATCTCATGACATGACCAACAGTCACTGCAGCACAACATAGACACAAAGTGTAGGGCATGGCGCCCTAACCAGCTTCAATGGTCAAACCCAACAAGGTCTCTCATTTTCTACAGCCACTAGGCAGCTACGCTTTGGACAAGTGAGGATTCTTGAAGATGGTGATGCCTTTTTGTTACACCCTCTCTAAATTTGTGACCCATTTAGGGAAGCAATGGGCGAGGGCGCCCAAAGTCGGGCCCTTTCTTTTGGAACAACCCTCAAGTTAGGCAAAAAGCAAAAAGTCCTGCCACTGAACAACCGGGGGGAACAAAAACAAATAAAACAATAAAACAAAAAACCAGAAACACATACTGACCACTGACCGTGGGCGAAAAACGATTCGAAGCAAGGTTCACTGGCCTGCAGCCGCTTCCCACACATGTCCTGGGATAGGACGCTCAGCGTTCCAATATGGCCTGCTTGCGATTGCACCTTGATACATCCGGCCCGAGGACCCAGAAATAAAACGGCTCACTTGAGCGTTGCCGGCTTTTGGTAAGCGAGTTCAGCTCTATTGCAAAAGGGTCAATCAGCCTTCGACCTTGCTCCCTGTCAAGCAACAATCGGGAAAATTCCTAAATTTTGATTCAGGGACCCTTCTTTCCAAAGCAAACACACATACACAAAGGGGACGTGGCTGCGTCGCTGGTGTCTCACGCTCATTCAAGGGAAGCGTCAAAAGCTGAGTGCAATCACTGGTACAATCGATGTCCCCATTGCCCAGAACAAGTGTCCATGAGAAAGCAGCACATATCTCGGTTGCTTTCTGCTCCCCTGCTATAAGTTTAACTTTGAGTGGCTCAATGGAAAACCCAGGCAAAAAGTTAAAGTCCTAACATCCAAGCAACATGCACCAAAGATATAGTTGTTGTCATGCCAAGCTCCTTCAAAAAAAAGGGAAGGCAAAGGAATCGGCGGAGGTGGCCTTTGAGCATCCGATTATACCCTCGATTTCCTTCCCGAACTGTGAAAAAGGCCACCAGTTGTGAGAACCTCACCCCATTCGCCGGAGTTCGTTGGCTTGTTTTCCGGATGTCAGCTCACCAAAATCTAGCTGATTGGACAAACACTGCTTGTTGTTTTCCTTCACCTTGACGACCAAAATCAAAAAACAAACAAGACAAATGTTCTCCACTTGACCTTAGACCAAACATTTCGGGGGAAGCTGGAAACAAGAGCCAAGTCACCTCTTTGAAACCACGGGTTTCTTTTAAGCAGGTGGACTCCTTGTTGACCTTAGACCAAACATTTCTGGGAAAGCTCCAAGCAAGAGCCAAGTCACCTCTTTGAAACCACGGGTTTCTTTTAAGCAGGTGGACTCCTTGTTGACCTTAGACCAAACATTTCTGGGAAAGCTCCAAGCAAAAGCCAAGTCACCTCTTTGAAACTACGGGTTTCTTTTAAGCAGGTGGACTCCTTGTTGACCTTAGACCAAACATTTCTGGGAAAGCTCCAAGCAAAAGCCAAGTCACCTCTTTGAAACTACGGGTTTCTTTTAAGCAGGTAGACTCCTTGTTGACCTTAGACCAAACATTTCGGGGAAAGCTCCAAGCAAGAGCCAAGTCACCTCTTTGAAACCACGGGTTTCTTTTAAGCAGGTGGACTCCTTGTTGACCTTAGACCAAACATTTCTGGGAAAGCTCCAAGCAAAAGCCAAGTCACCTCTTTGAAACTACGGGTTTCTTTTAAGCAGGTGGACTCCTTGTTGACCTTAGACCAAACATTTCTGGGAAAGCTCCAAGCAAAAGCCAAGTCACCTCTTTGAAACTACGGGTTTCTTTTAAGCAGGTGGACTCCTTGTTGACCTTAGACCAAACATTTCGGGGAAAGCTCCAGAGCTAAGTCACCTTTTTGAGGCGCTTTGAAGCCCGGGGACTCTTTGCGCAAGTGGACTCCTTCCGCGGAACACGCCCCGGCAGTGGCTCCTGGAAGATCTCCAGGGCCGCTCGCCAGCGGCTGGCCTTCTCGCAGGCGCCTCAGCGTGTGACTCAGCGACTTAGCCTCTCGGGCGTGGCCGTTGCTGTTCGGTCCATGGCCAAGAGGCGCTTCGCGTTTCCTCTTTGGAGGTTCCTGCTGGGTAATTATTCACCAACAGGGACGGAAAAAGCTATGATGGGTGGTCTCTTGAAAGTTGGGGGAACCAAACTGGCGCAACTGGTGTGGTTCGCTTGGTGGTTTCCGACTTCAACACCTCAAGAAACGAGAATCCCTGAAGGAAGACACACCCAAATGGCAACGGCTTCCTTTTTAACAGTAGCAACCAAGACCCATTTTGAGAAACCATGTGATCGCGGGAGCCTTTTTTTAGGCTGCTGTTGAAGGCCGGCCAAACAGAAACCATGGGTGTTGCCCTGAAGAAAAGCCCATGTATTTCAACGAAGATTGCACCCAAAGAAAACTCAAGGCACAAGGTGATGGAGATGCTTAAAGCTGCCAGGGAAATACAGGGCCCCTGCAAGGCTTCTGCAGTCTGCCGGGTTGGTCCATGACCCTCGAGTGGCACTACCTGAGGTTGACCCTGGTACAGGGGACTTCAGTTTGCACTATGGTGGGCAACCAGGAGAACCACCTGAAAACTCAGGGGAAACAGTTCTGTCTGATTCCTCCCCAAGGTCTGGGCTGATGCAGGAGCTGTAGCAGATGCGGTCCTGCGGCTCGGCATGTCTGTGGGCATGTCTGTGAGGCTAAGCCGGTATGCGGTGTCTAAGAGAAATCAAGGAGAACCAGGACTAAGGACTAATACCAACTGTCACGTGTGGCTTGGTCATTAGGTTCAGAGTAACCCTGTCCTTTCTCAACCCTCTACTCGTCTGGGTGCCAAGTAGGTCAAACAAAAAATATCAAAAACCATCGCCAGCATTGGGAACAGCCGATCACCCATAGCTAACATCTTCTCACGCTCGTCCACAAAAACCAAACCCGCTCCGGGACCCAAAAAGAGGTCGGCAGCTCAGAGAGCAAGCGCAGGCAAAGAACCCACTTCGCGGCCTGGCGACAAGGGCGAGGGTAGTTCAAAAAGAAACCCAGTCAACCCAGTTACTTATAGGCCATCTTAGTGCAACCAAAAGTCGATTTTTTTGGGTGGCCAGTGGATGTAGAGGATCTAAAGCAGGTTGGATCCAGTGGATCCCAGTTGCCCATTAGTAGGTAACCAGCCGTTTTCCTTTTGGTTTTTAAAGGCTGGTTCTTTTGGTTACCTCCTATACATGGAATCACTGGGAAAGAGTACACACTTTGGACCCGGTGCCCTCGATTCTCCCTCTAGGCGATTACTATAGTCCACAACGTGACATCCCCTTTCAAACATCCCCTTTCAAACATCGTATGGCCTCATGTTCAAAAAGTCATGGAGACTACACATAATCTGGAGCATCCCCGATGTAGAGACACCTGTCTTGACAGGCAACATCTATTCGGAACCATACTGTACAGTGCTCCTTGTCCCCTTCAAATTACCCCACCTCAAATATGGAAGCGCTATCAACATTGGTTTCAACTCTTGCATGTCAGGACCCCTGACACCAGCAACTCTCACAATATGTCCGTAGCCTGGACTCAAAGATCCCAAAGTGATCAAGGTGAGCTTGTTTACCCAAGATAACTCAACCGTCAATTAAACGGATGTTCCCTGACAGCTAACGGTTTTAGATCTCTGTCCAAGTAATTGAGCTCTGCGATGGTTCGGAGCTGCTTTCAAGAAGGGTTCCGGAGGGTTTGGGGCTGTTGGGAATACCACCTAGGAATTATTTTGTGTGAGGGCTTGGTACTACCCATGCAGAGACATTCCCATGAGTGCACCCCTGGATCGTTTCCCTTTGAACATGCTTTAAGAACCCAACAAAGGTACCCTCAAAAAACACACACACACACATGGCAGTTGGTTCAAAGCGAAACCACATGGAAAGCCGCGCCGTTCCTGGGATCCGCATTTGGAGATCGAGCACCCACATTTCTAGGGGTTGATTCCTGTTCCATTCTTTTCAACCATCGTTCTTTTCCAAAACCAGCCGTTTTCCCTGGGATTCCGGATTTCAAGAAAGATCCGGAAATCTGGGAAGAATATGGAAATGGAACAGGTACCCTATCCCCAACCCAGCCTTCTAGGGTGCGACACCATGGATCCTGGGTGCCAAAAAGCCAACGAGATGGTGGCTTGGTTGACGTTGGATTTGGGGAGCAAAAAGTTGAAAGTTTTAGCAGCTAAGTGGTTGGATTTCTTTCCCACCAAACCACCATAAGCAAAAATAGGACGAAAAATGCAAATCTTAACAACAACCATGATTTAAAAGGAAAATGTTTTTTGCAGGGTCCCCCTGTCAGGTTCCACGACAAGGTGGTGGAGGAACGCTCCCCTAGATTTTTTCTCACGGAAGCGAGCGCTCGCCAACTCCCGCCTTCTCGCAGGAAGCCATGGCCGCCGAGCAGGCCACCTGCCGGCGGAGCACCGAGCGGTCAGCTTTGGGTCGCCTTTCCGGTGAGTCCATTCTTCCCAGTTCCCCAGGGAACCAAAAGAACCAGCCTTTCAGACTGGTTACACATGGGTATCTGGAAAGTTCCCAGTATAGCTAGGTCCGCCAGTAAGGGTAGAATAAGGGTACCAACTTTTTTCTCTAGTCTATTTTAGTAGGGTCCCGAACCCTCCCCCAAAAAAGAAACGGGAGAGAAGGGCACGACTGGTGGACCTACAGTAGGTAACCAAGGGCTTGCCAGCCTTTAAAGGCCAAAAGGAAAATGGCTGGTTGCCTACTAATGGGCAACTGGGATCCACTGGATCCAACCTGCTTTATCCTTTAAAAAGGTTTGCCCCCCAAAAACCAGCGACTTAGGGTCTCCTGAAAACCAAGTTCGAACCTTGTAAACCTTTCAAATTGTGTGAGATTGATGGGTATTAGTTCTGGGTGGTCGCTTTCTCAAAATATGGCGAAACCTGTCCCGCAAGGAAGCCCCAAAAACATGGAAATACATGGAACCCCAGAAGATATGGTTTAAGATGGAACGACAAAAAACATCGCGAGAAGTCGCCTCTTGGATTTTGGACCCCGGTTTTTGGGGGCCACAGGTATCCACTACTATGTATGTGTCAACAACTATATTTCCCAACATTTGGTTGTCATTCAAAGGTGAACAGGGTAGCCTGAAAAAAACTACACACCCCACTGGCCCTACTGCTTGCCGCTTGCCCGCGTTTGCGAATGCACTGAGCCCTGCGCCAGCGAGCTGACCCTTCGGAGGCGCATGGCTTTGAGCAGGCCTAGGGCCTCGGTTTTGCGGGGAGCAGAGAATTGGAGGCTCCAGGGGCCTTCTGACCCAAGCGAACAAGTGGGGCAGGACTTGCTTGCAGCGCGAATGTCTTTTTCCCGAGATAGCTGAAAGCTAAAGGGGTTCTGAACTTCTGATACAAAGGGGAAGGTGATTTGCGAGATTGACGGCAGGGTGCTAAAGGGCAGTTTGGGTGGCGCAGGTGCTGTTTGAGGTGCTGGTGACGGTGTGGGCATTTTTGCAAGATCGCAGGGTGCTAGGGGGCATGCTGGCGTGGGTGTTGCTTTGCGGTGCTGTTTGAGGTGCTGGTACTGTTGCGAGCGCATGCGAGATTGACGGCTGCAAGCGGGGTACTGGCGCAGGTGTTGCTTTGGAGCGCTGCTGACCAAGTTTGCGAGTGTGCAAGGGGACATGCAGTTTGGCGTGCTGGTGCAGGTTGTTGGTGCGGGCGAATTCTTGCAAGATCGACGGCCGGACGCTAGGGGGTATTCAGTTTGGGGTGCTGATGCAGGTGCTGTTTTGGGGTGTGACGCTGGTGATGGTGGGCGCATTTTAGATTGACGGCAAACTGCTAGGGATTGGGTGCGTGGGCGCATTCTTGCAAGGTTGACGGTTGGGCTAGGGGGCATGGGGGTGCTGATGCAGGTGCTGCCTTGGGGTGCTGTTTGGGACAGAAAGCCCCTGAATCAAATCCTGCCCCTGTTCAAAGTCTCCCTTCAACCTGTACAAACTTTAAGCACCTATGCTGTCCACACCAATGGAGCAAACAAAAAACACTTAAGGTTGTTCTTGGGTGCTGTAGATCCCCCAGCAAAAAGTTTAACTTGTTGCTGGTTAAACGGACATATGAGGGGAATCCAAAAAGTTAGTGTGTGAACTGGAATCTCCTTGACACCGGAAAAAGAGAGAGAATCCTTCGTCATGGAGACTCTCCCAGCCACCGAGCAGAAGCCTTGCGAGCAAAACAAAAACAACTGCAGAGTTGGGTGTGTCTTAACATAGCGGTACCAAATGCGACCCCAAAATGGTGATTGACTGTCCTTTTTTTCCCCTTGCAACACGGGTGTTCACAAAATGGAGCCCTCAAGAAAGACAAGCCACGTTCTGCACGAGCCAGGCAATTGATGCTGATGCTGATGCTGGCAGAACAACAAATCAGGTTTTGGTGATGCAGCCACCTGCACCAATAGAATGCCCAGCCAGGCGCAAAAATGCACAAGCATTCGTGACCCAAGCCAACTTAGCATCGTTCCAGGTGCTTCTGAAAATCTTTAGTTGTCTGCTTCGGGAAACTCCTGCACACCCCCGTCGCCCTCCAGAATAATCCAAACAGAGGGGGGTGCCTCATGTCAGAAAAGACACGGTAGGCACCCCAGGACATCACCGGTGGCCCAAAGATTAGGCTGATCCCTTTGATCATTGATCACATCATCGCATGGAGCGAAGCAAGAACTCGAAGAGCCATCCGGATCGGCATCGCCCGTGGTGCCCTTAATTAATACCTTGAAGTGAGTAGGGGGTCAGGTGAAAAACATTTGCAAATACCCACCTGAATTGAAAGTTTGCAAGGCGTACACACCGAAAGCCCGCCACAATGAGCCATGACCACGAAGTAGAGTGTCGCCGTCCCATATTTTATTAATCCTTCTTACAAACAAGACACACATCATCATACCCGGCAGGATTTGGGCCAGGCTTGAAAGGATTCTGATCCTTCAAGAAACGGAAAGGGTAGGGTTCGACCCATGTTTGCCGGAAGCGTTTGGTACTATCATCCTTAACCAGCCACTGCACAAAAGGCAAGGCCTCCTTACTCCCTGTGGCTTCTTCCTAAAACATCCAGTGGCCAAAGCATCATCCTTTCTTGAAGCTGAGTTTTATGGCACCCCCTTCAAACAAGCCAAAGCAAGGGCTACCAATTCCACAGAAAAAATCGCGCCCATCTCTCAGCTTGGCGCTTGTCTCCAGTGGCTGGACCGGCTGCAGGCGTCAATGGCGGATGCGAAAACGTAGCCGTCGGCACCTCGGAAGGTCAAACCAGTCTAGCTGAGGCTGATCCAAACCAAACCAACATATGGCTGTGGGTCAAAAATGGGTACCCAAAATGGAACCCTGCTAAAAGAAACCATGGACTCAAACCTGCGTTCCCCTGGTGGTTTAATTTTGGCTCCTACCCATATGTAGAACCTCAGGGAAACATGCTCGAAGCCAGTGGTCGCTTTATTCCAGCCATTTGTTTAGCGACAATGAGCATCAGCTGCAGTTGCACGGAATCCGAGTAGTGGGTTTTCCTGGCTGATTCGCTTTATATTGGTCAGAGTGAAAAGCGATGGTGCCTCAACACCATTGATCACTATCTGAGCTTTTTGAACATTCATTCGAGGGCTATGGTTTATTGTGATGCAAGCACAAGGGGACTCTTAAGGGGTCCCTTGCAACTCACTAACTGAGGAAGGCCATATGCAGCCATCTTGTCAATCTGAATCCGCTGAAGCAGGAGAAGGGGGTGGTCACGTGTGTGCCGGCCATGCCAGCTCCCAAGAGTCAAACAGTTGCAGTCACACAAAACAACAAGAGCGAGGCAAGCTGGGGGTCAAAGGGGGCAACCAACTTTGGTGCAATTAGTAAGATGGCTCATCGCACCAAGGACGCATGGCCCAACAAATGTCCAGGGATCAATGGCCCTGTCCACATGGATGGGCCGCCGAAAAAAGCGCCATTACAAGCGAAAGAAACACGCCAAACTAGAGTGGGCACCTTCAACATCTTCAAACAGGGGCCCAATCCCAAAAACTGCAACATGGTCCAAAACGCAACCAAAAATCAATCCCCATACCCAAAGCGGAACACGTCCGACATGGTTCAACCGGAACCCACCCCCAAAAACCTCATGTCGAGCCCACGGAACCAGGCTCCAGACGCAAAGAGCCAGCTTGGATCGAGCGCAGCACCGCGAGCGCCGCCTGTGCGAAAAAGCCGAGCACCAAAGAGCTACACATTGGTTCCCCCTAACTTTGGTTACCCCTATTCGGTTGCAATTGGCCAATTCCCCAGCTACACATTGGTTCCCCCTAATCAATGAGGAAAGCCGACACCAACTGGTTGGTGGAGATACATCAAATGATGTTCACCAAAGGGTCCCAGGTGATTCACACCCAAATCAATGGGCTCTGTCCTGCAAGCCGTTTAACGCCTTTAAGGTCCCCTAAGGGATGACAAAACCCAGGCCAGTACCTGGTGCTATCTGGCTTGGCCCACCCTTCACATAGGGCTTCATCGGTTCCAAAGGTTTGCGGAGTGGACTTTGTCCCCAGAGCCCAAAAGAAAACAAAATGGTCAAAGGCCCTTTTACTTCGACAACAGATAAAAACATATTAATCACTTCTTCAAAGGTTGTGTGGCAGGTTGCGCACGTTGCTCACTCAGCCTTGGAGGCTGCGTTGGTCATCTTGCCAGTTCCTTTCACATGCGTTTCCATGTCCGAGCCCGAGATCAACCCCTCGCCCGCTCGCCTGCCAAGCAGCTCGCTTCGCCTGCAGCCAAGTGGTGTGTGAGTCGCTTTTTGATAGTAATAATAGCCCATGCTCCAAACAAACAGCATGCAGCAATATTATCGAAATAAACAAACTTAAATGAGATAAACGACCATGATCGACCATATCAGTCAAAGAAATAGTTCAAGACTAACTCATCATGTCGGCAAAAATGACTCTACGTTGCCAACCGGAAAGGCAACAGCATCCTGGGGCCTGAGCCCGCGCAGTCCCTGGATCCGCTGTAGACAAAGACTTCCATCACCAAGGTTGGGGCAACTCACAATTTTAAAGTTGGCCCCCTTAAATATGGGATAGTGTCCGTTAACTTTTGGTGTGAGTTCCATTGGGTGGTTGAAGGGTCCAGGTAAGCAAGAAACTTTCGCAGCATCTCCAAGCTTTCATTTTATGCTCGTGGCCTGGTGTGACCAACTTGGCCTCTAATTCTGATCTCTTTGCGGATCTTCCCTCTGACTCCCTTTCATGGCGTGAGGATAGAATCTGACTGTTCCTGGGTGCGTCTCCCTTTTTACAATCACATTTTTCTTTTTTCGGGGGGGCTCCCGGAAAAACGGGCGCCTCTCCTTCCTCCGGCCGAAACCCATTCCTACGACCTGAGCACCTCTGAGCTCCGCACGCAGGATCGCAGCAGAAAGGTGTAGTGCACCACCTGGTGTCACTGAGTCGCAATC